AATCAGGTCTCCCTGCAGCCTTCTCTTCTCCAGGCTGAACAAGCCCAACTCCCTCAGCCTGTCCTCATAGGAGAGGTGCTCCAGCCCTCGGATAATTTTTGTGGCCCTCCTCTGGACCCACTCCAACACTTCCATGTCCTTCTTGTGCTGAGGGCTCCAGAGCTGGATGTGCTTGCAGCACCTTCCCAGGAAAAGCTTTGGTGCCGTGTGGTGTGAAGCAGAGGGTGGCGGTGAGCTGGCTGAAGGAGACCTGCCAGCCTCGCACGCGGGCACGAGCCCGGACGGTGCAGTGGGGGTGCGGGGATGCAGGGTGAGGATGCAGCGAGAGCACCAGCCCTGGGGAAGAGGAGTCGCTGGTGAGGCTGTGGCTGAAGCAGCCAGGGCAAAGGGAGCCAGCAGGGACAGCTGAGACATGGTAAGAGGAATAGATTTTCACTTCTGAGTATTACGCTTCTTGGGCTGGCTTGCACCTTCCCGGGGCTGAAGGCGGCCGCTGGCGGCAGGCGGGGGCTGAGCTCTGATCATTTCCCCCCAAATTTGGGGGCATCTCTAATTGCTCTCTGTGGCTCCCCAGGCTGCAAGACAACTGCTGCTGGTGGGATTAGTTGGGAGTTTCACTTAGCAGGGATGAAGGGCTGTCTTCTGGGGCTGGCTAATTAACAGGATTCTACTCGGGCGATTAAATAGCAGCTTGTTGAACACAGTCGATGAAATCTTTGGAAAACATAACAATTAGCAGGCAAGAAATGGCAACTTTGCCTCAGAAGCCTATCCCCCCCCAGTTGCTGATAGGGTTTTAACCTCTCATTCTCCAGCAGAGATGGTGTTGACTCCTAATTTGTTTGGTTTTGCTGCTGTCATTGGCCAGCTTGTTCTCTCTCCACTGTAACAGCAGCTGGCTCCTCTAGGGTTTCATCTCAGCTGCAGGGGCTTGAGATGTCCCACTTGGTGCTTTTTCTGAAGACTCTCTGGTGTGGTCTTAAAAGCCAGTGCTGGAGGAGAGGAGTGTTTCCCATCCAGAGAATAAATCCTTTGCCTTTCTGCTGCGGTGCTGGGGCTGCCAGCTCACCCGGCCGTGCCTTTGCACAACCGGGCTGTGCCTCCTCTGCGGGGAGGAGGGTTCTCACCACGGTTACTCCATGCACAGCAGCATCTCCCTCCCCTCTGAGCTACATGCGTTGGAAAGATCACATGAAGCATACAGGGTTCCCTCCCTGGGCACTCGCACCATTCACATGCACTGAAACAGGCTGCGGTTGCACATTAAGGCTCCTCTCTGCTGGGCTTTCTCACTTTCTGCTGTTGGGGTTGTTGTTTTGGTGGTTTTTTTTTTTTAAACTGCCT